TTCTTTGCAAGCACGCTCCTGCCGGCACTACAAGAAGGCAATATAATAGCCTACGGGTTTATAGACAACACCAACATCCTTATATTTAGCAGAAGCACGGAAGAGAACTGCAGGGCAATCGAAAGTGTGCACGTACGGTGCATGGAGTAGGCGAAGAAGCACAGCGTAGTATTCGCCCCGGATAAGTATTACCTTATACACTTTACAAGGCGCCGTTTAAATGCGGTAAATATAAAGGCTACAGTAAATATCCGGGGCTTTACAGATGGCCTAATTATAGAGCTCCGCGTGCTTGGAGTTTAGGTAGACTCTAAACTTAAATAGGGCCCGCATATACGCATTACAAAGGAAAAGGCTATAGCACAGATGGGAGCCCTTACACGGCTAACGGCATCAACATGGGGCGCAAGCTTCCAAAAAGCACGGCATATATACTCAGCAGTTATCAGGCCGGTCCTTACGTATAGGTGCACCACCTGGTCTCCAACGCCAGGCATAAAGGAACAAATCAGCAAAGCGAAGATTAAACAACTTAAAACGGCCCAGAACTACTGCCTCCGTGCTATCGCAGGGGCGTACAAGACAACAGACATCAAGACGCTTGAACACGAGACCTCTTGCCCCCCCCTAAGGCTTAAGCTAGAGGAACTCGCGGTGGCGTACGCCGCACGCGCGCGGGCCAGGCTAGAGAGCATATTGAGACCACGTGCCGCACTATTAGAGACACTATTAGGAGATACTATAAGCCTAGGAAAACGCCTAAATACGAGCCGAGCCGGCGTGATGTACTGAAGAGGCTCGCGGTTAAGGCCACAGCACTAGCCCCGAGGTACAAAGGGCAGTCAGACAACTCGTACAAGCTTTTAAGACGAGGAGCAATACAGGAAGCGTACGAGGAAAGGTGGAGGGACGAATGGTAGGCCCACAGGAAGAAACGAAGGGGCCCCCCTACGCCGGCCCTCAACACGAAATGGAACAAGAATTAGGCAACCAAACACCATAAGCTTACAAAAGCAGAGAGCTTAATTATCACGCTCCTACGAACGGAACACATAGGGCTTAACGCATACCTGCACCGCATAAGGGTGCCCAATCACCCTTCGCCCGCGTGCCCCTGCGGGCATATACCACAGTCTCCAAAGCACGTAGTAATGCACTGCAAACGACACCGCAACGGCAGAGGCGATATGTTCTTTAAGGCCAGAACAAGAACGTATATGCAGCTGTACAAAGACCACAAGGGAAATAAGGCCGTTTCGCAATAGTTCCTGCACCAGACAGACCTCCTACCCTACCTCTCTATAGCTAGAAAGATGGCAACGGAAAAGCTGGCTATACAGCCAGCCGACTCGTATAGCCACGCCCCAAGAACAGAACCACACGCACACACGCACATTGCATAACCACAGGCACGCCCGCAACAGGGCAACCCCCCAATTTCCTATTGTCCTTTAATTCAATACCTCGGCTTTTAAGAAAAGGGCACGCGCGTACGGTAAGGGTACGCGCGCCCTAACGCGGACCCCGGACCTTACTAACCATCTGGACACCGTACAACCCTGGAACCTAGGGCCTACGGACACCGGATCGATCCTGGAGAATACATCAAGATGGCTTACTCCGTGGTGATGCTTACAGAGCTGCCACGCGTCCCCCACAGCCGCGCAGAAACAAAAGGAACGCAAGGCGTTATACACTGTAGAAAACAAGGTTTTCACCCGACCGCTATAGAGCGAACGGTTTCCCCTTGTAAATAAAACCTAGATAGCACTGCCGCATGGACCCTAACGGGAGCTAAATCGGCCTAATAGAACCTAATAATAATAATAACAGTTCCTTTAGTAAATTTATTTTTTAGCCGGTAGAAGGCTATTAGGGCCTCTACTATAATTTCTATTAGAATAGACTTTTTATTATATTACTTCTAGCCCCCTATAGCAGAGCTAGGTTGCTTTTTAGTTAACTTATTAAAAAGGGCGGTAATTTTGGAAAATCCCTAGATAAAACAGCAGTAGTAGTTTATAAACCTAATAAAAATGCAGATATTTCTAATATAGGTTAGTTCCGGCTATAACTTAACTGTAGAAATTTAATATATATTCTTAAAAGCGCCTATAAGTTACATATCGCTCTTAGGCGGCCTACTATCTAATGCAGTCCAAACTAGTAATTAATAGGAGATAGAAAAGAGGCTAGGAGAACCGACAACAGAATGCTTAACCGCTTTAATTCCTTTGGGAAAGAAAGGAGATATTTCTATTACCTTGTGGGTTGGTTGAAGAGAGGGACTTTAAATACTCGGCGTATTTATAATGCAGCGGACTTAGTTAGCTTTACCCAGCCATCTATTACTTTAACCTTAAACTTAGCCGGAATAAGAAAATCCTAACTTGGGGTAACGTCTCTAAGGTCTACTAACGGCTCGCCGCCTTTCTCTGCATTGGAGATTCTAATTAATGCGCCTTTAAATCTTATTTTTCGGTCTTCTTTTATAGCGTTGAATATGCGACCGCGTATATATTCTAGCCCCTCTTCTTAAGCTGCTACGTATTTAACCTTAATAAAAATTCCATATTAGCTTAAAATATGTTTAAAAGGTTCAGATAGTTGGATATATATTCCCGGACATAACCAATCTCTGGTAGTATTCTGTAGAAGTACCCCTATTAAGAGAAGACCTGTCTTATATTATTAGCATTCCTCTTTAGACCCTGAAGTAGAGCTTTACAAGATGCTTATTAGTGGACTGGCTTATAACGCAAACTCTGTGCCGATTTATGTAGACAACGCGTACCGGATAAAGGAGTTAGGTATCTTAGTGTATCCGGCTACTGGAACAGAGTACAGGCTGGAAAAGGTGTTATAAGTATACGGCGTATACTAAAAACAGCGCCCGGAAATGCGAGTTACAGTAACTCTTTTATACCAGTTAGCTAAACGTACTATAAGAGGGACGAGATGGCTCCTGTTGCATTCACTTTAGCTGCAAGGTATATTGGTCTACGATACCCTAGTAGCGCTAGTAGTAACAGCGTAATACTAAAGGAGGATCCTTTTATCTGTAGGGTTTTGGATAGTTTAATAAGATAGTAAAAGGATTAGGGTAACGGCGTCGAAGTCGGTGTAGAAATGGAGGCTCTGGCTAAGACACTAAATCGACTGGGGGAGGAATGCTACAATTCGCGCAAAGACCCGTCAGCCTATGTTAAGTTAAGGATGGGATGGGCTCTTTGATATTTACCTTGATAACTGCAGAACGCAACTTATAGGTAACTGCCAATAGAGCAGGAAGCGCAAGAAGAGGTGGATAGTATGCTCAAACGCAGAGCGACCTTGCTGAACTGCGTGGCGCACGATTAGCGAAGTAGAGTCGGCGGAAGGGCGTGAGGGACATAAATGTGTTTTCCCAGTCGATGGATTGTACGACTACTCTTAAGCGTTGGTGCCTAACCGGATGTCGAGATGGAAAGAATCACCAGCGGTTTATCCCTCGGGCGGGGCTGCGGCCGGTTTTGCCCAGCCTCAGAATTCGCGCCCCACTCAGTCCAATGCATGGCAAACATCACGTGCATAATGAGCTAACTTTGTTGGTGGATTAGGTAAAGCTTCCGCGATGATGCAAATTTCAGCTGTGCATTGACCCTAAGTCCGTGGGATTGGAATCAGTTAATACACGTAGTTGATTTCCATTGCCTGGCCTTTTACGGTGCTTCGCATAGAGTATTTAAGGGGGTTCTTGAAATCGACGGGGTATTTGAAATGGCTCGTGCGTAGGAACATCAAAAATGACGGAGAATGCCGCTTATAAGGGCAATCGCATACAAATTAGCATTCTATCGCATATTTGATGTTACTCACACCGTATCTCAATTAATTTTGTATATTGTTAAGTCCTAGCATAGTGTTAAGGTTGCAGGAGTGCTAAGAATACATAAGAATGCCTCCCTACGCTGTTTTTTGTACTGCACGTCTATTACGCTGCATTAAATAACACCCTTAATACTAGGGCAATAGTATAGATATATAACTTTTTTAATAAGAATCTATGCTCTAGGAGTAATATACAATATCTTTCAACTGCTAATTCTGATTTGGGGCTTAACTTCTGTTGGAATTTATGTACATCTTGGTGAGATTAGCGTTTTCTGTTGATGCGCTTGAGAATGGTATCCGGGTGTATCCCATAGGCGAATGCGCTAGCTAAGGGGCTCCCGTAATATTCAGATTGATGTCCACTGATGGCGTCCTGTATAATCTGTTCTTTGGCTTGTCCACAGTGCAATAGCAGCATAGTAAGTGGGTGTATTAGGAATAAGGGGCCACGGGGCGTAGGGGCGAGCTGATTTTTGGGTGTTCACAGCAGAATCGTTGATCCTGACCAATCAGAAATAGGCGGTGAGGCATACGCACGAGCCATTTCAAATACCCCGTCGATTTCAAGAACCCCCTCAAATACTCTATGTACATGCCCGGCCTCTCTAAGCGCGAGAAAGTTGATCTACGAGCGAGCTCGAAAGATGCCTAGTGCAGGACTCTCGTCACCCAGTTCAAGAAGCCCTTTTATGACTCCCCAAACAAACTGACAACCCTCAGGAGGCCCCTCAGCAGGAGGCCGCCGACACTGATGGCTGATGGCCATTTCAACACCCTGGTAGTCATCACGACAGTCTTCCCGCCATCGCGATGCCCCTCCAGCCAGCGCGATATCCATCGAATTTATCCTGGCACCCCTCCAACCATCGCATCTGGAGCACCGTGCTCGACCTCATCGCGCGGACGAGACCTACCCTCCATCCGGCTACCCCTCCTCAATCCGCCGCCTCCTTCGCCGCGTCGTTCCACAGACACTTTAGTCCTTCAACACAGGCAGTTTCGCGGACACATTTGACCTGAGGAAGGACGTCGACCTAATCCTAAAGGGCGAACTGGAGGGGAATCTCATCGTCGACCACCCACACTTCTTCGACACATTCTTCGGCGGAGTTCCACAGCTCAGTAAGATGGCTGCAGCTGTGTTTGGGCAATGCAAGGAAGCCGAAACACCTCTACACACGGACGACACTGGCTGGGCGGAGTGGCCGGAGGATTGTGCGGAGCCCGATGTGCTGCACTGGCTCCGTCACCACATCGACCAATTTCTCCAGTTTGCGAATGAACAAGGCTTCCAACCTCCAACGCGTCGGCGGTGCTTTGCCACACCGAACAAGCATATCCCCGGATCTGTCAGCAAACGGAAGCTAGACATTGGCATCATCTATGGCCGGCGGAACGAGACGTCCGACGATGGTGCTCCCTGCGACTGGTGCGACGTCCTCGTCCCAGGCGAGCTGAAGAGCAACCCGCGGGAGGATAATCACAGCAGCACCTGGTTCGATCTGTCTCGATATGCTCGGGAGATCTTTGTCGCTCAAGACACCCGACGGTCTGTTACTGGCTTCACACTCTGCGGTTCTATCATGCGGCTCTGGGCATTCGACCAACTCGGAGCGGAATGCACAACTGGAGCGATATCATCTGGATGGCATCATAAAGCGACAGCGTTGTGTGGCAGGATGAGCGACGACCTGTTGGAAGTCCACGATAAATCCGGCAAGCCTTTCGTCGTTAAAGACTCTTGGGAGTTTGAAGAGCGGCCGGAGGAGGGGCCTCTGCTCAAGAAGGTAACGGATGCGGGCGTGGAGAATGTGGCAGAGTACCACCACCACGAAATTGTTCATGATGAAGGTGATGTTGTTGATATCCGCAACAAACTGCGCAAGGGGCTGGAAGATGGAGGTGGGAGGTATCCACTACGAGGGCACCCAAACTCACAAACACTCGCAGACCTGTCCAAGGCTGAAGGCCACGCTGCTGATTCAAGTGAGGGCAGAATTCTTGCTCGAAGCTTGGTCATATATACCATACCATTCCTTAAATGGGTCCCTACGCTCGGGAAAGGTCAGAAACCAAGAAGGTTAGATTACTAGAGAGGCTCTTGGCTCTCGGTGGTGAGCGACATAGTCACAGTCGTCATAGCGGGCTAAAAGTAGATATAGGATGGCAGCGTTCTTAGCAGCGGCGACAGCTTCTTCTAGACTTGTGAAGTCGCTTTAGTTTTAGCAAGTTTCTCATGTTAGGCACCGAATCTCCGTTACAACGTGCAATTGATTGTGAATTTAATTGCAAGTATGAATGTTGAATCTTCATACGCAGGGCCTTACTCTGCCAGGGTTCCCAAGGCCCCCTTTGACACTGTTGTCGATCGGTGGATCACAGCAGTAAGTCTTCCAATTCAAATCATGATTAACCCACAAATAGCTTGACAGTTGCAAGGCCAGCCAGAACACCTAGCAACAAGGCCGTTGGGTAAGTAATAATAGCATTCCCTCCAACCATCTCCACCGGTCTCAATTGCTCTTCCAGGAGCGATCCAACCCCTGGAGACATTGGGATCTGAATTACGAGGTCTTTCAGGGACACAGTTGTTGTGATCGTATTTCCGTCGAGAGACATCTTGACATCGGCGCTTTCGTCGTTATAACCATAGAGTTGTATGAACTATTACTGCTCAGCGGAATATTCAATAATCACCAGAAGCAGAACCTTACCATAGCGCGTGTAAGTTCCTCCATCGTCAACTTTTTGTAATTTGTTTGTTCGGTGAAACTTTGGTGGGTATAGCCTGGAGAGTTTTGGAAAGCTCTGAAGTACGAAGTCATAATGCTGAAAGGCTGGGGTTTGAGGGCAAAGACGCGGTTCGAGAGGGGCCGAGAAAGACTGAGAAGATAGCTATTGAAAGAATATTAAGGGTCGTCGCTCTATATATATATGCTGACTAGTGAACCCCCATCATTGCCCAATACTAGATTTCCTTTTCCCTAAATCTGTCGCTTCTCAAGCCTGGAACAGTGTGCTGCGCATGAACGGTCAAATGCTCGTTTGCATGTCTCGAAGGGACCAAGGAACGCGTATGTCTGAATCGAGGTCATCATACGGTATGGAGGGGGACATGAGTTACCTGCGGAGAATAAGGTCTCAGCGGCCCATTGCAGTCCCACAGCTCAGTGAGATGGCCGCAGCTGTGTTTGAGCGATGCAAGGAAGCCGAAATCCCTCTACACACGGACGACACCGGCTGGGCGGAGTGACCGGAGGATTGTGCGGAGCCCGATGTGCTGCACTGGCTCCGTCACCACATCGACCAATTTCTCCAGTTTGCGAA